AGTACTGAATTAATTTATACATGAGGTCCTTGGTTTAGGACAGTAAAATGCATTCTGCAGACAACCTTCCAACTTCAATACAAAATATGGGGGGAGGGAGGAACCAGGAGTGAGATCCATGTTAGGGTGCTGGACTCTGAAAAATGCAATTTAATGTATAGGACAGAGGGATGGCCTTCATCAGTGCTAATTTGGCACTGGCTGCAGTGTGGCCTGCAGAAAGCAGTCGGGTGGTTTTGGTGTTGCCTGATGGAGGACTTTGCGGGGTGGGGAGACTGGCTCTCAAGGCATGACTGCTGCACACTTGCAGTGCCTTAAGAAACTCATGGCACTGCTTGCTGTATTCTCCAGAACTGGAAGCAGTGCAGATGCATTTGTGATGTGCTACATTCAGGCTGATTATCCTGGTTCAGAAATAGCCTGTGCAGAGCATGAGGGAGCCACTGCCAGGCCCAGCATGATGGTCATTAGCCCATCTGTAGGGCTGCGTGACTGCAGCTTCTGCTTTGGGATGTGGTGTGTGTATAACAAGCCGTGGGCTAATTCATGATGTAGACAGGCCCCTGTAATCAAAGCCTGCCACTGGCTGCAGGGAGGAGAGAGGAGACCGGCAGGTGCTGCCCAGGGGATGGGATGTGGGAAATGCTTTAGTGCGGCTGGGGAGCTGGGTGGAGAAGTGCCCCTGGTGCCGGCAGAATGGGAGACCATCACAGCCCAGCGGTCCTTCAGAGCCTTGTCGGCTCCTGCTGGCAAGTGTTAGGGAGGTGCAGTGGCGCTTCGCACCCTAAACCTTGAGGATGAGTGCTAGTAAGCTCAACAGCCCCTGCATCCTTTAGCCCCACATGTCGTAGTAGATTCATTAGGGACCCATCCGTGTTACTAATTGGCTAGAATGATTCCACCATCCCTTCCCCACACTTTCCTTGTCACACTTCCACGGAGTGACTTGGATTCCCAAATAACTCACTCGCTAACCTGAGCAGGGGTTTTGATTCTCCAAAGTGCAGTTTCCTTGTGATTAAGTACCTCCTTCTGCTGTGCTCTTTAATGCATATTAATGAGCACTAAGCAGTGCTTGACTTGAGTAATTTGCAGTCGGGATGGGAAGCCTTTAGCAGAAGGGCCCGGGGGCATCCTACCTGGGGAAATATTTGCAAAGAACGGGCCGTTTGATACACTTCAGCACATTCCAAAGGCACATGCTTTTTCTTTTTTTTTAGTATTTTTATAAGTCGGGATAAATCGCTCCTGGCAGGGAAGTTTTAGCAATATCCTTTCCCTGCATCCCCCTTCAGTTTGAATATAAATGTCCCAAGAGAAAGGAGTGGGTGGGGGAGAGAAGAGTTGGCTCAACATTTCTACCAGCTTTTAACTTTGTTTCTGTGGCGGAGGCTGAGTTCCACATCTGGTCCTGAATTACCCAGCATTTTCCTGGAGTAAATCATAGTAAACGGGGGGCATTGTGTGCGCAACTGTCCTGGATGTGGAATGAAGACGAACCGATGGACGGGATAGCAAGAGCGCTGCTTGGGAGCTCTTTGTCTAATAACATGGCCACTCTCCTGGGGTCAAAAGGTTGATGACGACCTTCTACCATTTTCAGTTGATAAGGTCCAAGGGCCCATCCTGATTTTGTTTCCCCTGGGGGAAATCCAGCAGCTCTCCAGTGATTTTTTTTTTTTTTTTTTTTTAAATTT